ATTACTAACATTTCTCACATTATAACATTTCAATTTACTAACAGATTGGGAGACTGTTGATATTAGTCCATTGTAAACAAATTCTGGAATACATGTAGACAGATTAAATTTCGATCTTAATTCTCTGTAAGACAATATTTTCCCATCTGCATCTAAAATATCATGTACAAACAGAATTCCCTGGTCCAGCATCTCCTTCCATAAGAATGGTTCATCATCAATCTTAAAATACCAATTATACCATAGAACATGGGATTGGGAACCATTCTCAGGAGGGTTGAACTGGAATGATAACCACGTGTACAATACATCTAGGAAAAATACACTTACACCTGGGAGCTCTCGCTTCAAAAAAGTTACAACTTTCAATTTGTCATTTCCGATTTGTAAAAATGGAAACAGCCCCTTTCTAAATACAATATGTGTGTTTGATAACAGTCTTGAACAAAACCAGAGTGTATTATGATACAGCTTAGGAACCCATGATGCTTTTAAGGAAGCATCAAAGGCGCACAGATTGATAAGCTGTAACCCACCACATTTTATATGAACTATACAATACCTTTCTCTTTACCCTTTCCGGACCATTATTCCAAAATGAATTTAAATATTTTCTTTTCATACTGTTGAAAAAAAGTTGTGATCCGGAGACGGCAAAAGCAAGAAATATGTGTGCAAAAAAGCGAGACAACCAATGAATTAATAACTGTAATTTTTGCCATACAATGAGAGTGATCTTTTTCTCCATGGGAGCAATGTGGTGTCTAGTTTCTTAAGGCATTTACTGCAATTGATGGACGTGATTTCATCCATGTTGACCGGGACATGCGTCCCTAACAGATCAAAGGGACCATCGGTCCATTCTACGCTGTACTGACTAGGTATCTCAAAGTCTGTACCTTTAAGAGAACCCACTCTAATTACCTTACACTTATCGTAGTTAGATGTAAGACCGGAGAGTTTGCTAAAATTGTTTAAGTCTGAAGTTAAAGCATTAAATGTGACTGGTGTGGGTTCTAAAGTAAAGTTAGTATCATCTGCATATTGGGCCAATTTGGATTCTATATCATTTGTAATGAGTCCCTTTATGTCAGAGTTACTTCTGATTTTGATAGCTAAGAGTTCAACTGCAACAATAAACAAGTAAGGAGATAGGGGGCATCCCTGTCGCACCCCTCTCTGGGGCATAAAAGGTTTAGATAAATTTCCATAATTGATGATTCTACTAGATATATTACTATAAAGTACTTGTACCCATTTGAGAAAAGAATCTCCAAAGTTAAAGAATTCTAATGATTTTAACACAAAATCCCATCTGATCCTATCAAACGCCTTTTCATAGTCCGTCACAAAAATTATTCCTGGTAAGTTTTCTTTTTCAAATTTTTCAATGATTTCTAAGATTCTACGACTCCCGTCTCCTATATACCTTCCCCGCATGAAGCCGGTCTGGTCGGTTTCTATAATACTATGTAATACTTTACACATTCTTTTAGCGAGACATTTGGACAGGATACGCACGTCACAATTTAAAAGCGTCAAGGGACGCCAAATTGGTTAAAGAGGATGGATCTTTATCTTTCCCATTCGAATCTTTTTTAAGAAGTAGTGATATAAGTCCTTCTCTCTGTGTACCTGACATCTGGCCATGTTCGTAAGCATAATTTAGGCATTCTAACATGGGAACTTTTATGTGATCAAAGAAGACATCATAAAATTCAACAGGAATGCCATCTGATCCTGGCGTTTTCCCTTTTTTAAATGATTTGATTGCTTGTCTCAATTCTATTTCTGAAATACGACCATCACATTCCTGTCTTTGTGCATCTGACAGGCGTTTAGGGTAATTTTTGGGAAGAAAATCTTCACATGTTTCCTCCGTGAGAGGGGTGGGAGGTTCTTGAAATGAGTACAATGTCGAAAAGAAGTCAGTTTCCATACGAATGATATCATCAGGGTTTGTGAGGACGCATCCATCAGAGTTTCTTAATCTCAATACATTTTTCCTAGCATAATTCCTGTGTTCGAGATTTAAAAAATATTTGGAACAACGTTCCCCTGACTCCATCCATTTACATCTAGATAGAAAATTTAGCCTGTCTGTCTTTTCGCGATATAACATTTCAAGATCCTTTTGTTTGCACTCGTACTGCTCGAGGAATTCTGAGGAAGGGGAAGGGTCATCATCTATCTTATCTTTTAGTTCGTTTATTTCTTCCGTAAGCTCTTTCTCTTTAGCAGTATATTGGCTTTTTTTCCATGAGGAATATCTAATGGTATGACCCCGGATACAGCACTTAAAAGTATCCCAAACTATTTGCGGATCCGCCGAACCTATATTGTCAAAGAAAAAATCCTTAATAAATTTTTCGGTTTCTTTTAGATACATGGAGTCTAGCAGTAATGAAGTGTTCAGTTTCCAATAACCTTTCCCCCGGGGATAATCAGACAAAGCAAGTGACAAACCTATAAGGTTGTGATCTGATCTAAAGCGGTCTGCTATAACTGTTTTAGAAATTTTGGACAGCAGAGAGAAGGATACCAGGAAATAATCTATTCTGCTTGCCTGTTTTCTTCTTCGCCATGAGTAACGAGTGGCTCGCGGGTTGCGAATTCTCCAAATGTCTACAAGGTCTAATGTGTTCATTATGTCTAAAATCTTTTCCTGTGCTTGGGGGTGATAATTTTGCACCCTCTGTCCAGCTCTATCTGTTTTATTATCCAGCACGGTGTTGAAATCACCAACTATAATTAAGTTTTCAATAGCAATGTCTACGCCTTGTATGACTCTCTCTACTTCCGCAAAAAAGTCCGGATCGTCCCTGTTTGGACCGTACACATTGACCAAACATAACCTACAGTCATCGATCATTATGTCCAACACTATCCATCGTCCTTCCTTATCAACTATTTTGTCATTAATTTCGTAATCCAAACCTCTCTTAAATAATATCGACACACCTTTACTACTACTTGAACCCATGAGAAAATACAATGGATCCTCCCCATTCTGAGACCCACGCATTTTCATCGTCAGCCTCAGAGTGGGTTTCTTGAAGGCAAATGATTTCAAAGGGTTTTTCCGACAACCACGTAAAAACTTCTTTCCTTTTACGTTTGTTTCCTATTCCATTGCAATTAAAACTGGCTACTACTTTACATAGGCTATGTCAGTGTCATCGGTCTTGTTGGTATTCCTAAGTTTCATAATTATTTTAACTTTATTTTAATTTATGATAAAGTTTTTGATATATATATATAATCTGTGTAAAATGTAAAATTTAATTGCTTGTCTTCGGCAGTCATCCTTGGCTTTTGCATATAAATAAGTTGAAATGAAGTTATACACACACACACACACACACACACACACACATATATATATATATAGAGAGAGAGAGAGAGAGGAGGAGAGAGAGAGAGAGAGAGAGAGAGAGATTCAATGCCTTCTTTCGTATCTCAGCTAATTGTAGATGTACGAGTTCTTCGCGTTTCTAGTTGTAGTTGGTATATATGCCCTCACTGATCACCACAGTACTGTGCTCCTAACCTACTTCGGAATTTTTGCACATGTTCAATCATGCTGAATATTGATAATGCAATTAAATTCCATTAAAGGCACTACCATGGACTGCAGCCACGGAGTTTCGACACGATTTCCTCGTACCTTCGTATCTTCAACAGAAACTCTTCTGATGAACGATAACCAGATGACAACTGTGTCTTTGGGGTCTCGACTTCCAAACCTATTAGAACTAAGCCTCGAAGATAACTGGATCACGAAGCTTGAAAGATCTCCCTTCAGTCTGAGGCCAAATCTTCAGATTCTTCGGCTTGGAGGGAATAAAATCACCAATGTGGTCAGGGATGCCTTTGATGGACTTGACAAACTTGTGAAACTGTATCTGAATCGTAACAGCATCGAAACTGTAGAAGCGTTTGCAGTGATTGATAGTCCAAGTAGTTTGGAAATTTTGGACTTACAGAGAAACAAACTCACATCGATAGCGACCAGCACGTTTACTGGAGTCCCACTGCTTACGGAGCTCAACTTATCGTCCAACAACATCTCAACGATTGAAGATGGGAGCTTCAGTGGTCTCAAGAAGTTACGTGTCCTCTACCTGCATTCCAACCAGATCGTTCGGCTGACCAACGAGACATTTATGGGGCTGTCCTCATTGAAGCGTCTTGTTTTGGCTAACAACAAGATACAGAATCTACCAGATATGGTCTTCAGTGATTCCACAGCGCTGGAGTTTCTTGATCTCATATCTAACGGTATCTCCCAAATCACACAGAAAACATTCTCTGGATTGTTCAATCTAACGGCACTGTACATGGGTAGAAACAACATCAGCACTGTAGAAGACGGTGCGTTTCGCGATCTGGTCAAACTGCACACGTTGTCACTGTTCAACAACACGCTACAGGACATCTCAGCATCCACTTTTCTCGGTCTGGCTCCTGACGATAGAACAGACAACACAGGACTGGAGGTGAGAAGAAAGCCTCATTTGTTTGAAAACTTTAGATCCAACACAAAGAAGTTCCTTCAGTTTTGTCAGTGTGCTTAAGAAGACCAGAGTGACTGGTCGAAAGCGCTAGGTGAGATAACTTCTTTGTGTTGGATCTAAATTTTTAAATCTAAGCATGTAACTATCAACACAGATGAATTTAAAAAAAAAGCCCATTTGTATAGACTATTCTTGTAATTTGTTAAAGAAACGTTTCATCGTCTTTATCGTATGTTAGCGGGACAGGTTTGACTGAACGAAACGTTGCAATTTGATCATGTCTTCCTTGATTTCAAGTAATGCAATGTCTTTAATATGTAACTTTCTAATATTAGCAGCCACACATCCAGAAATTATGGCAGTCGTAAAGTGTTAAAAATACCTGTCTAATCAGTTTATAAAATCTTTCTGCCCTTATTTAAGGAACTGTACCTCACGCGGAATCGTCTCACTACTGTCAGGAAGGATGATTTCGCCAGGCTCACAAAACTGAAGATTCTGTGGCTATATGTAAGTACAAGACAAGACTCTCTTTCTCGTAGTCCTATGAAATATTACGTGATGTTTGGTCATAGACATAGCAAACTTTGTTTCCTTAAAAATTAGGAACGGCCCATAGTTCCAAGTATGTTTTAAGTCTACCCTAAAACATAATTATAATCTTCAACAGATTCTATGGAACAAGAGAGAGTATAATGGCCCTTTAACCATTGGCTGCCTGTTGGATACTGCCTGGCCCGACAGGTGCTCAAAATTGTACAATACATGTACACTTCCACATCATATCAGAACCTATGTACCTATCACATTCAAAACTCTTACCAAAGACAGACTGAAACAAACGTAGAACTAGTAGTGAATTAAACTACTACTACTATTGTATATGTGCATATATTGTGTATGTTGATGTATATATGTATAAGTTGAAGTATTGTTATGTTTAATGTAGTACTACTCTCTTCTGGAAGAATAGCTGTCACCCTCGGGCGGGCAGCTAAAGGAGAGTTTTAACTCAATAAACTCAATAATTTGATACTGCATTGCACCCACCCAAAGATCTGCTTAGACATTACTTTATTATACCTTTTAACAAAAAAACCTTTCTATTTCCTGCTGAAACTCAGGGCAACAACATTACAAGTGAGGGACTCGATGATGGTTCATTCGCCAATCTCGGTAACCTTGTTTCCCTCAGCCTGCACGACAACCTTCTGACCAACTTTTCTACAGCAACATTTCAAGGTATGAAATTCGAACATTCATAATTCTAAAACAGGCTAGGACTGTAAGTTTTAACACAACAGATTGGATTTGCTCTCTAGATGTTTGCTGGACTAAACTATTCAATGGATTGCAAATCCAGCTATTGCAATTAATAAGAATCTACGGTTATTTTCAAGACTGTAGTCAAAGAGATACTAGTAGCTAGAGACAATAAAATGTTCTTTGAACTACATGTATGGAGGGGTCCCCATTACTACTATTCTACTATTCATATACTATGACTGTCTGTAACATACTCGATTACACTAAACATTTATTCATTATATTTACCAGCAGATTCTTGAGAAAATCTGCCGGAATCATTTCTATGTATCGTTTAAACTTGATCAAAGACTGATTGAAAAGATTTTGATTTGAGGCATTGTGTTTTTTCAAACATTTTACACAAACTGGTCAGCATAACTCAAGAAGCAGTTGATAGATTTTGGTGATGGCTTGTGGTTAGGCCATGTCAGACGATGGTCGGGGTCTATCCTTGGTACTGCAGCAGAACTCATCTGTTTGTTTTTGCATCTAGTGACGCTGTTGTCGTGTTTTCACAGGATTGCCGTCTCTGGAAAGGCTGACTCTCGGAACAAATCTGATTCAAACTTTCCGACCTTTTGCTTTTGCCAACCTGCCTTCTCTGACATCTCTGGACCTACGAAGGTATTTATCAATTATAACATAACGTAACGATTTCAATATAGCTAAGAAACTACTTCATGCGTTCAATGTTCTTTTGAAAGAAAAATGCATCCTTTAATTTACCGCTGTACTATGTGCATTTAACGAGTCCTTGCCACATTCAAACGAAACATTTTTGTTTCTGCTATATATTATCAGATTCCTTGGGTAAGCAACATACATTGGCGAGGAATTTATACCACATGCCGTACTACAGTACACGATAGAAGAAAGAAAATGTAACTTTTGCGTTTTCAACTACAGGAACGCCTTCAGTAGCTCTTCATTCCATCCTGATACATTCGGCAACCTGACGGCACTACAATACTTGGAAATACAAGGAATAACAGGCCTCCCACCGCGTATGAGATTACATTACTCTTTAAATGCTTGGACATGTGACTAATTTGTTTTGTTCTTGGTGTATCTACTAGTATATCTTTCTTTTTCTCTCTCTCTGTCTCTCTCTCTCTGTATATATATATGCACACTCATATATATATATCTTTCTCTCTCTCTGTAT